ACAAAAACAACTTTCTGTTTATACTTTCTTCGCGAAAATATTTCTTAATTTCCGAGCATGTTTATCGCCTCCTATATAAGTAATTAAATGTTGGTAAAGCTTTAATTAATTTCTTATCAAATAACGACGTATACATATTTATATATATATAAATGAAAATGTGAACGACGGTTTGCATTTTTATTTAATCAAGTCGATTTTTATTGACATCACTCTTATAAATAGCTGTGGCTAATGGTTTTAATCGTGAAACAAGTTTGTGAATTTCACATAAAGTTCGATCGAATTGCGTGGATTTGAAAATACATGCTTATAAACGTCAATAAAGATGTGTTATGTCATTTTAAATCCATTGATAAGTCCGTAACAATACTAAATACAAAACAGACTAGTTAAACCCATTCATATTATAAACGTGGAACTTTCGTGGTCAGAATATACCTGTTAAGTACTGATAATGGACATTTAAACCCGCTCATTTTTATGCAATTGTTTAGCTCCAAATGGAAATGTTTTAATTTGCGATATTTAATTGAAAATTCCGATTCTTTAACAAGGAAAAGTGTAAAAGATAAAAAAATATTGGAAAATGAAACTTAACTAAAATCAACTTGTGCCTATATCTTAACTTTGGCGAAACTACAATTTTTGAACGGTGTGTTTACAAAAGGAAATGATTTGTTTTGCTGAAATACCAAAAACTGATGTTGGGTACACTGCAAAACGCCTTGACTATTTTAGACGTTATTTTTCCCAATGAAAGCTACAAAGGGCAGGCAAGAGCTTTTGGAATAATAATTTAATAAAAACTTGAAAAACTAAAGTTAAAAATGATTTATAATTGATAAACACAAGATCCTTATAAATGACACTAATTAAATGGACTCTTTTGCTAGGTATATGTTTATAGAATAATAAAGTACAAAATAAATAGTTTGGCAGGTTTGTTGGTTAAAACTTATCCTTTAATAAAGGTGTATAGATCGGTAAAAATTTTATCAGTGACGCAAATTACATCATTATCCGATAAACTTATCCTACCAATTATTTTTTGTTTCAAATTCGTAAAAATAGATAACTAGTTACTGCGAAAACACTAAAAGATATTTTTTACAAACAATAGAACTTCAGATTGAGTAATCTATTGGTTGCTTTTTGTTTTAGAGGCTGCGGTGATAAGTAATGGCTGTTTTTCATTAAAAAATGATTTTTTCATTAGATAAGACAGAAAACATACATACGTGACGCTTTATTTCCTAACAGTTGGTATGAATTTTCTGGAATGGCTAGGTTTCTTCAAAAAGTTTTGGCTACATCAAAACTCGGTGCTTGAGGTTAAAAACTTTTTTAATACAATATTTCGTACGCTAAATAAAAGGAAATTGCGATTGTAAAGGTCATCAGCATTACTCACGCCTATAAATATATAATTTCTAATCTGAACAATTCATGCGGTATCTGTCGGGACATAATCGCCGAACACTCGATAAAATTTAAACTTGAAATTAGTATAGGTAGGTACGTCGCATACATGAAACGAAAGTACTTGTTCAAGTACGTCTCCTAAATTGGTTCAGTAATTTCATACATGGTACAGTAATTGCCACAAGAAAAGTTTTCTAAAAATATCCAGAATGAATAGTTGGCAGTTTTATGTTTACCCCAAAAAATTACAGATAAGGCTGCTAATAATATAAAGACACTTGTTTACATAAAATGTTAATATTTTATTCTTCAAAATAGCAACATGTTAAATTTGAAACACTATTATTTTGAAAAGCCTTTGAGCGTAGAATTATTATAATGATGTACCTATCATGGATCATAATGTAGAGAATTCTGAAGACCACTACACATTCAGTATTAATGCATAATAGTCCTATCGTAATATAATTAATTTAAATAATAGCTATTATAATATCTTCGTTGGTTTTTTTGCTTAATCTCAACTTTTTTAATTATCATCTAATTTTCTTGTAGGTTATCTTGAGAGAAAACCTTTATGTTTTTGTGCGTTGTTTAGCTTTGTTTTTGAAAGTTATATCGTTTAGTTTTGTGTTATTAACATACGTTGTGGTCAAGTTTTATTTTTATTCGATTTGGTGTAATTTTATACATTGCATTTTACTTTTAGTTTTTGTACATTGTGGTCAAGTTTAATTTCGATACGTTGTGGTCTAATTGTACTTTTACTTTGTACGTTGTGGTCTAGTTTTGTTTTATAATTTAAGTTTTATTTTTATACATTCGTTGAGATCTGGTTTATTTTTTAGGTCGTTGTCATCTAATTTATGTTACATTGTTGAATACGTTGTGGTTAAGTTTTCTTTTATACATTACCATTTAATTTTTTTTACGTTGTGGTCATGTCTTGTTTTATATATTGTCGTCTAGTTTTATACGTTGTGGTCTAGTTTTGCCTTATAATTTAAGGTCAAGTTTTATATTTATACGTTGCGCTATAATCATAAGTAAGTTTTACATAAACGTTGTGGTCAAACTCTTTTATTTTGTGCATTATCGGTTAGTTCTTTTGCATGTGATATTGTTGAATGCGTTGTCGTCTAGTTTTGTTTGATAATTTGTCAAGTCAAGTCAAATTTTGTTTTTCTACATTCTGTTCTAGTTTTACTGTCGAACGTTAGGGTCTGACTGTGTTTTAACGATGCTGTTTTGTTTTTGTATGATCTAGTTTTGTTCATGATTACTTTTATTGTTATGGAGTACGATATCGTCAAGTTTTGTTTTTACACATTGTGGTCCAGTGTTCTTTTTCTCCGTTGTGGTCCAGTGTTCTTTTTGTACGTTGTGGTCCAGCTTCCTTTTTGTACGTTGTGGTCAAACAAAAATTAAAATGTTCTATACATCATTGTTAAATATCTGTTAAGTAGTCCAAACCAGCTATTTTACAGTGTTTTTTCTTGGTTAGATCTTTAATTGCTTATGTTGTGGTCGTTTTAGCGGATTAATAGCAGGTGAATTTGTTCGCAAACTACTGTACTAATACGAGATTATCGACGTATTGCTTTCGAAGCCTGTGACCATAGTTTGTTGTGATTGGCGAGCACTGTTCAGCGTTAAGTCGTCGAAGCCAAGTCGGTCAGTACAGTATTTCCAACGTACGGTGAAAACGCTTTCATGTTACTCGTTGCCACCATGAGAATAACTCAGTTTCCGTTTCCAAAATCAAATTTAATGGTGCTCGATGTGTTCTAGTGTTATTTTTTTATTTTCTAGTGACTTATATAAACTGCTAATCGTGATAATGTTGTAAGTTTTTACTATATTTTGCTTGATGTGTATGTATCTTATTTTTTTTTGTATACCTGCTCTTTAAAAAGTATAGGCTGAACGTTTGGCCTAACATTTGCACCAAATATTACATAATTTTCTTTAAAAAATAATGGTACCTATGGGTGTATGACACGATAAACATTTACAATTAGTGTGTCAATTGTAAACGTTTATTTAGTCGTAAGTTATTTGGTATTTTATTGACTGCGATACCTGTGGACTACACCCACGCAATTTTACAGGCGCCTCCATAAAAATAAAAGAGAAAATATAGTCAACTCCGTACCTATGTAAGTACTACTATTACATAGGTACGCAGATATAGGTCCACACGTGTGTCAAATAAAATAATGTAACAATTTTTATAAAAAAGATTATCGCGTTGATACGCAATCATTGATATATTGTATGTTTTACTTAATAATGAGATAATGGGGTATTAAAAAAAATCCTAAACAGTTTAATAAAGTAAAATATTATCGTTATGTTTATTGCACTACATAATAACTGTAAGCTAAAATAACAAACATGTGTAAACTGTAAACCATTATTAATCAACTTGTAAATACTGACAATGACAATTAATAGTGTAATATATTTAACACTAGTTGAACCCATTACAATTTGGTGGTGGTGGGTACCGTATTAGGGAAATCTCAAACGTCAAAGTCATCTTTTGCAATTTTTATACAATCTTTAATTGAAACGTGCGATTAAAAGATACAAAGATGTACACGACTATGCCAAATGCCAGGCGAATCCACCACAATATTCAACTGCTTTAGGAATTATTTTACATTAATAAAAAAAACCCATGGGTTTTATTGCGGTGCAACAATTAAAAGGTACTTAATTGGTCAAAGTTTATTAATAAGTGCGTTTTATTATTGATTAAGAGTCTAATTTGTTTCGTTTTACCAATGGTGATAATAAATTGTAGGTACCTAGGTAAACGTTAAACCTTGACGTTGGTACATCGTTAAGGTACATTTAATAACTATGCAAAACGTTCTGAATTAAATTGTTAAGTGCTTTTTTTATGCCTACATTATCAAAAATCAATGGCAGTATTGGAATTCGACATAATAATAAATAATTGTAAATGAGAAGTGTATATACTTTGATTAATTACTTTTATCAAGTTGTTATCATGTTAAAGTCATTTTGAATTATCTAAAGCAGAAAAGGGTAATGACCAGTTCTTTTAACATTTCTTCTGTCAGTATTTAGATTGGTACTTACTTGTAAATTGTAAGAGTAGGTAATTAGAAAGCTATATCTTCGTAAAGAATATTAGGAAAATCCATCCGTATCCCTTATCTTCCCTTAAATAATAACTGTTCTTATAAACATACATACAATTTTAGACTACTTTTAGAAGTGAGTTAGTTTAATATGAAATAGTAATCTGAAAATTCATTTTTGAATTTTTTACCCACTACACTCTACCTCAAATTAATGAAGGAAAAATTGGTCGTTGTTGCTGTTGTTACCTCTCGTAGTTAGTGGTCAGAACATTGGTGCGTAAAGCCATACGTACCAGGTTCGATTCCCGGAGGGGTTGCGACAACAGTAACAATTTTTCCTCATTAATTTGAGGTAGCGTGTAGTGAGTAAAAAATTCAAGAATGAATTTTCAGATTAATATTTCATATTGCTAGACGTAATATTTAAATGTGTATTGAATTAAATTTTCGTTGTTTCAGAGAAGTATATAATGTCATCTGTAATCGCTTAGGTCCAACAGCGAACATTCCCGGGGAATCGGTGCAAATGTTGTTCAATGATATGAATCTTTATCCGTCCAAATCACAAGGTAATAAAAATCTTCATACGCTTCTATGTCTATTTTTCACCTACTAATTTTTTATTAATAGAACTAACTAATAATAAGTCTATTCCCGCGGCAAAGGAAGGGGTCAAATGGTACTACGAAAACAAATAAATATTCGGAAATTAATTGTAGCATCTTTTCATAAATTATTATTAATGGTCAAGCATGTGTAGCAAGTTCCTGTAGTCCAATTTATTATAAAATCATACGAGAGACTGTATTTCTACTAACTTTCAGTCGAAATGCCTGTGCTGTCGCCATCATTATCTATATTATACAATGACAATATTATCTTTTTCCTTTTTCAGAAATGAACTTCTACTTTGGCCTTATATTTTCCTCATAATAAATATAAAGGCCAAAGATAACTGTTATTGGCGATAATCAATTAATACAGCATACAACTGTTTTTACAAGCTTATTATTATATTTATTTTAATATATTCTAAATGTCTTGATGCGTACAACCACGGGCATAGCAAGAGATCAATTTAAGAGAGGGGGAGGGTAGATTTTCAGTAGATGTAATGATTAAGTAAAGTTTATATGGGTTTTTAGTATGTTTGGTTTCTATGTTTTTAAAATTTGTGCCGATGTTGTGATCGTCAAAACCTTTTCCATGGGGCTGGCAATGAGCTTGCCAGGGGGGGGGGCAGTCACCCCCTTGCCGCTACCTATCTCTGCCCATACGTACAATCCTGCCTCCTTCTAGAGAGAGGGTGGCATACTCGCGGAAGGGGTATCATATTTTCATCCCGATTCCTGTCGTAAATGTTTTTTACCATATCCCTACCATGTAAATACGAATCTTCCTGATTTAGGACAAAAGCGCAGCATTCCCTGACGTATCGCAAATCGTACTTAATTAATGAAATAACCCAAATCCGCCCCCCCCCCCTTCTTTCGTTGTACGGTGCAACATTATAAATCAGAATCAATAGTCAATCTGGTTAAAATCAGATGAGAATAAAAAATTTATTATTAACAGATTGTTAAAAATGCGCTCTGTTAATAAAATAGCGAATGTGTGCTGTACACCACGTTTGCTTATTTACTTTCGATGATAACATTTTGATTTTAAATACCATTACAAACAACCATACATACGTATACCCACAAGGTTCTAATAATAATGCATGTGTAGTCTTACAAACGTATCTAAATTGAAAGTGTCAAGTACATTTATTACAGTACTACGTTATCGATTTTTGTTGACGTTTTACTGAACTAAATGAATAAGTTGGAGCAGCCGCAATGGATTTTATGTCAGAGCCTGTGTCCTTTATCATCTGAAATTTGCGAAAAAGAAACTATATCACACTAATTATAATGTGTAGGTACGTTTATTATCATTAGTGTAAACAATTGTAGTATTATGTTGTGCCACACAATCTGTTTTAATTAGACAAGCTGTTTCCCCCCTTATTTTTTTTTTAATATCAGCTACGCGTATAAGTTTTATGTAACTCGTAACTCTCAGGTATAAGTGCGTGTGTTCATCGATCGTAAAATTCGTTTGGATTTTTTTTTGGGTGTTTTCTGATGCATATACATATTTTTTTTGTCGTTACAGTGTCAGAAATGTTGCAATGTGCAAGACAGTGTAGTAGAAGAAATGGTTCTCCTTTTCTAACGTTCGGAGAATTTTGTCTTTTCGCCAGAGAGCTTAAGCGGCCTGAAATCTACAGAAAATCGAAACAACAACATAAACAAAACGATGGTAAGCGAAATAATTAAACCGGAAGTATCTGTTTATCATCAGATGCTACCACATAAAATGTAGGTATCTTTTAATCGTAAAAAAGTTATAACATTCAGAGCACTGTGAATGTTGAAGTTTAATTTGTTTGATTTAAATATACCTCTAAAAATATCTCTTCTCTCTTACAAGGAGAGTTGGGATGGGTTGGGCTTCTTGTTAAGACATTTCTTCATTTAATTTGTAGTATCTTCGAAAAATTGTGAAGTCTTTCTCGGTGGATCGTGTAATCCAACGACATGGCGAACTGATATAGCAATTCCGGAGTTACAGAAGTATGGGATATCGTATTATAATCCAGTAAGTACCATTATAGGCTTTTCAAAGTGGTGAATGATTAGAGAGCATCTAAATGACGTGGTCCGAACGAGTTATTACATGTTTTTGGGCTTCAATAGTTTTCTGGGTTGTCCGACGTATCAGTGGGTGTTATTTTCTAGCAAAAACCATTCTGGAGTCCGGAACTGGTTTCGGAAGAGCACGATGCCAAACAGTCTGCATCGGTTCTTTTATATGTTGTCGAAAGTCAAACAAGGAACGTAGTGGGAATGATGGAAGTTGCCTATTTGATGGCATCAGATCGCTGCGTTGTTCTAGTTATCTATCCTTATCAATTTGGACAGAGCATAATGGGTGAACAACTCTCCAATAGGTAAAAACAAACCGCAAATATCCAGGGTAATTTTGGTATAAAAATGGTAAACGTCTTTATAGGGAATATGTAGACTTGGTGGAGGGTCAAACAACGTTGATTGCCCTTGTGAAAAGTCAAGGGGTTAGAGTTCACGAAAACTTATCGTCTGCCCTACAACACACTGCTAGTCTTCTTAGAAATTCTTCGTGTAATGGAATGTCTGCAGAAGCCATGGTAACGTACAAGCTAAGGTAATATAATAAACTACAATCAAGAGGGGGTAATGAATGAATGATTTGATTTTTTCCAGGAGGTTGAGAGAGATCTTTGATTCCTATGACAATAACAACAAAGAAGAGTTAACTTTGAACGATACAATGGACGCGTTCCAAAGGTTGACAAATAAACGTTTGAAAGCGTCGGATTTGTACAGTTATCTGAACATCCGGAATTCCACCGATCCAACAAAGTTTCGAATCTCATTCGAGCATTTCTGCGCCATAGTGGCCGAGTTCAGTTCGTCAGGAGGATGTAGCACCAACGGCTTCATTTATGGTAGATTTTTTAGTACATTTTCTTGGACTGAAATTGTTGTCAAGACTAAACATCTTATACGGTTACAGTGTCGTAAAATGTTAGGTAATAATTGTCCGTTTTGCTCGGACTCGATATGTCAGCTTTCAAGCATGAAGCCAACGAAAAAGATTATTGTTTCATTTTATTTTCTCTTACTCCTTTTATTTACTAATTAAAACACTTGGTCTCATTAATGCACGACACTGCTAAACAGCAAATTGCACCATATAAAAAGATTAGAGATTCATAGTATGTATAAATACTTCTATTAGCAAGGATTTTTTGACTTTAAAATATATTTTTGTTAATGCACCAGATACCACGAAGTTCTAAATGAAAATACAAAACATTTTGGAATCTGTAACGGATTCCTTTTCATTCCTGATACATACAAGATGGCAGGGGTACCTTTTCTGGTACAAAAGCATTTTTTCATTAAAGAAGACAATAATATTTGTTCATTCGTACCATTCAAAAATTGCATGAAAAAACGTATATTTAGAGCTTTTGCTTCTGGAAAGCAAGCAACTTTAATTTTAATTTCTTAACTGTAACGTTAGATTTTCATCTTGGTTTCAGATTGGACCCATAACATTTTGAATAGGCAATGTTCTCCTCCTAGTAGTAATAGTCCTCACAGCAACCCGTCGCATAACAATAACAGTTCAGTGCTTAAGGGGGCGCCAACGTGGGAGAGCAATTATTTAGTTGATGTGTGTTTAGGGGGTTCCTTCAGGACGCAGCATTCGTGGCGAGAACAGGTGGCCATCCCGCTCCTTAAAAAACACGGACTAACGTATTACAATCCGACTGTTAGGGAAACGAGCCATAACAGTAGGGATTTGGGGGGTGAAAAGGAGAACGTGTTCGCGAATGGTGGAAAGTACGAAAGTTCGGTGTCCGAGAGTGACATTTTGGAGTGGGTGCGCGTTATGAATCGTAGTAAAGTGTTACTTTTCGTTATCACCAATGATACCAAGTCTCTCTCAAGTATGATTTTGGCCGCACATTACGTGGGACTGGGTAGGGATGTTGTCCTGTGTATACAACAACTTCCCCAACAGGAGTGCCGGCTTGGAAACGAAACGGTAAGAAAGCAAAAGTAACTCCCTTTAAATATATGTATGCCGCTGCAACTATTGTAAACTTCTTGTAATGCTATGCACTAGAAGACTAGACTTAGGAACACGTTATGTAAACTTGCAAAGTAGTTTACTGCGTAGTAAGACAGTGCGCATCCAATTTTGTGTTTGACAATTGATTTTACTAAAACTGATGTGCAGTCGCCCATCGCGCAACGTGCGAACGCGTTTTCTAACTTTTATTAGTGATGATGTTCTTTAAACATATTCGCTTCAGGTTAAGTTATTTCTCCTACATCTAGTCTTCTTGGATGTGCTATAAGGGATTTCCCCCGGTGACTTTAAGATAAACGTATTTTGTATATTAGAAATAACAAAAACTTGAAAATTGGCAGAAGATTAACTGTTAATTTGGCATATTAATACTTTTGGTTAAACTCCAACCTCCTCACTTCAAATTAAATATCTAGTTTGTTCATTGAATTAGAAATACTTTTTTAGAAATACTTTTTTTTGGGTTTCATCCTTTCCATACAATTTTACCTTTGGAGTGGGGCATCTCGTAGTTGTGATTAATATTAATTTATCGTCCTGACGTATATTTTTTCCATTATCCAGATAACGGATCAAGCTGTGAAAGATTACAATCGTGGAAGGGTATATTTGCGGGATTTTGCCAAAAGGAAACAATTACCAGTATTCGAAAACATCACCGAAGCAGTACAATTCACAATCGAGAAATGTCAGAGTAGGTAGAAATAACAATAAGTAAAAAGTAAGTCATGTGAAACGTCATCTTGTCTTTATTACCTCATGTTAATTATTATTGATTGTATTTATAAATGAAATCACCTTAGTAATTGATGAGTATACGGGAATTTTCTGTCGGCCTATCAGTCAAGTCAGATTTGTATATACAGAAAACTACCAATTGTCTTATGCTCTCTTTTTGTGGCTGATTACGTTCCGAAAATATTACAAAGGGTCAAAAGCTCCAACGTTATTGAAAGTGAAAACAGAGAATTCCTAACCTTTTTCTACGTTTTATTTATTTATTTTTGTTTTGTGTAGACAATATTGAAGAAACTACGAGAGCTATTTTTGTTGCTTTGGTTTAAAACTCTTGCATTCTAGTGTATGAGTTGTTTTTGTTACTAGTTTCATTTTCTTTTTTTTTTTGTTAATATAATCGAAGGAGATCACGTCCATTTTCGAATTTTACAAAATTTCATTGAAGACCACGTTTACATTGCTTAAACAGTTACTTATTTATAATTATATTAATTAATAGTCACGTTATTTACAGTACATTCCAAAATAAACCTAACATAGTATTCCACTGTGGTT